CCCCCCCCCCCCCCCCCCCCCCCCCCCCCCCCCCCCCCCCAACAGCGATCTGCTGCAGGACTCCGCTTTTAACTGCGCTTTTTACTTCAAACGTGAAGAACCGCGTAGCAGAAACACAACCAATTATATTATACGTGCATTTAAAGCCGAGTTAAGCGCTTACAGAAACGAGTGTCAGCACCTGTAGCACCCAGCACGGCGTTCCCCGGGCCGGCTCCGCGCTCGTTCCACTCGGCGCCGCGGTCCGGCTCCCCGCGCACACGCGGAGCTCCTAACGGCCGCAGCTCGTGCCCTCACCTGAGGCGGCTGCCACGCGCCGCTGCGCGGCCGTTTGGGCACCGAAGCCACGAGGCAGCAGGGCGCGAGGCCGCTCCGTCAGAACCAAAGAGAAAGAGCACGCGCTTTTCCGCGCGGCAGAAGCGCTCCTTGACCGCCGCAGAAGAAGCTGCGAGACCTTCAGAAGATTCCAGAAGCAGACGCCGCTCCGCGCCGCTGGCAGCCCTGCTGCTGCTGCTGTGCGTCTGCTCAGTAAACCGCGTCACGCCAGTTCGTCTTGAATTAACTTTATTTTTCCAAATAATAAAAAATAAATTAGTCATAAACAAAAATAGTTAACACTTTTTCATCAGGGAAAATGTATACAGTATGAAATGGATGCTGTACAGGTCTGGTTCAGGTGCATTGCCACGGATACGTATTCCTGAACGAGTCAGAAAGCAATCTGCCTATCCTCCCCTTTAATTCACTCCAGGAATGAGCTAATCAAGAAAGTTTAGAAAATTATATTATCGATTTACAGTATGACATATATACAACAATACATATGTAATACTCGTGCTATAAAATTCCATAAAAGCTGGGTCAGTATAATGAAAGAGCTGGACAAAAGGTGAATAGCGTATGTAAATAAATACGTATTAGGTCCCTTTTAATAAACATCTGCATATTCTAAATATTTGAAGCATTTTGGTGCAGTAGCCAGTTCCGTACACACAGCTCAGAATACAAATCTCCCATAGACATCTTGTATTTACAAATAACAACAAAATAAGTTACAATAAAGTATATCCTTCTTCTGCCAAAATCAATTATCAGGGTCAAGTAGAAATAAAATTTTTAATATATAAAAATGTTATGTTTTTCTTGTCCCTCATGGTGTTAGGTTTACTGATCCGTGCAGGTAAGGAAGGCTGCAGAGCCTTCCAATCCTCTGTGTGCAGCCCAAGTGGGGGCTTCACAAGCTTGCACGTACCTAGCCCTGCCAAGACCACTGCAGGACCATGTCTCACAAGATCCCAACACAACACAGACAAAACAGGCCAAGCAGTAAGGAAGACTGTCACTGCAAGGTGACCGATTCTCAAAATTAACCTTTTCTCCAAATATATTGGTAGTGTGATTTATAATCCATTAAAGTGAGTTGGGATACAGAAGACTGGAAAGTTGCATTCTTAACTTCTCATTGCTAAAAGCTGATAAGCAAAGGTCCAAGTTCAGTCTGGTGTGAGCTCTTAAGTTTTCTTCCTTTCTCCAAGCCTGAATTTCACCCACACTATTAAGATAATGTTGATAACTTTGCTTTAAGATACACTAAATATACTGAAAATGATTATTAGTTGATTTTTCATTTCAGATGTAGAACATACAATGAATGTTACTGCGTTTACTAAACAACATAGTTCCCACAAACATATTCTGTATGTGATGTTAGGAACATAGGATGCTTATTTCTGCTTTCAGAATTTCATGTTTTGTGTTTCAAACACGAAAGCTCCAGAGAGCACAATGAACTACTTACGGATCTATAGGTTAGTAAGAGTGAAGGCAAGAAGGCATAATCTCCATAGCTATTTAGAAGTTCTATTAGCCATGAGCTGCTTCCAGCACCTACCTCCTTCTTCCTCCCTCTGACCACTGACACTTTCAACCATGGCTGCTCCAAAAGTAATGCCTCCTATTTAATAATCTTGGCCCATGACATCAGAGGCAGATGTTGGTGGAATGGCAGCAGAGGGTAAAGGGTGAAGGTTCCTATCAATGTTCCATTACATTTTGGTGATGTGCCGCAGATGGCAGCAGAGGGGCAGCTTGACAAAGTGTCATCTGACATGGAAGTGCATGTGAAGCAAAGGTGTGGAACTGAACTCCTCCATGCAGAAAAAATGGCACCCACTGACATTCACAGACATTCGCTGAATGTTTATGGAGACCAAACAGTGGACGTGAGCATAGTGAGGTGGTGGGTGGTACTTTTCAGCAGTGGAGACAGTGACCTGAAAGACAAGCCATTTTCTGGATGGCCATGCACAGTTGTCACACCACAAAACAAAGAGCTTCTCCATCAGCTCATCCACATGAATTGGCTAATGATGGTTACTGTGCTGAACAGGAGTGTTTTGTAGCTAATAATATGCTCTATCAGTTAGTTATTATGGTTCTTTGTAACTGTTGTAGTTTCCATTAAAATATATAGGAGGCATTACTTTCAGAGCAACCCGCGTAGGACTCAGACATACGTAAAGTAAGCAGCACAGTTCTGCCAATATTGCTGCCCCATATGGTCTTCTGTTCTATAAATTTCATGTACTTACTGAAGTCAGGGCTACACTGGCCACTTTTATCAAGTCTAGGTTCTCCTAGAATCCCTCTTTGCATTAACATGTCATTAACTCATGTTCTGAACACATTCTGCTTTTTCTTTACGAATGAACCAACTCTGAACTGCACCATATTCTGATAAAAGTCAGATCTAACCTACAACATTGATGTTAAGCACTGCTTCATTCATAAAGTTCTCAATTTTCTGATTCACCTAAGCATTGGGGAAAAAAAGAAAATTATGTATGTAATGAGGAAGACACCAGTTCCCTGTTCAGGAATACTGGGGTAGTCTTACATTAAGTCAGAGAGCAAAAACACTTTAAGGGTAACTGGCTTGCAAGAACACTCACATCTTTCACTCTGCACTTCCCAGGGCTCTACTGCCAGACACAGGGTCATTCCCACAGGAGCAAACCTCACGCTTCCACACTACACACCATCTCAGTTTCTCAGCTAACGAGAGGAAGAACTCCATAAATTCAACCCTGCAAGTAAGCGTTGTCAAATGTAGCATGCAAGTGCTATACACAACCAATTCCACTTGCACATGCTTAGACCTGGCACTGAGTAGAAGGTAACAAACCACAATGGACCCCTGATAACAATAAACAACTGCACAAACAGTCCTCAATTCTAGGAAGAGAGTGCTTGAGACACAGAACTTGCTCTACCTGGAGCTGATTCTGTCCAGCTGCGTGTCTGGAAGATATGAAAGCAGTATGCCTCTTTTTTTCCTTACAAACAGTTATGCTGATTAAACTCTATACTAATCAAAAACCCAACACTTACTCTGGTCTTCATGGATTGTAGAAAGTAAAAATCTGTAAAGTAAGGAAGCGTTTTTTCAATTTTTTTTCGTGAAGGATTTTGATTGATTTTAAAATACCAGTAAAAGGAAATATAAACAACAGAAACCTGAATCAATTTTTACTGTATTTGTTTTAAACTTGATCTAACTTTACTGCATCCATGAAGGTCAACTGTCGTTTATGGTAAAATCATGAAAGACACATCAGGCCCCTGTGGGCATCATCCTAAGACAACACACCGCTCTATTAAAGCAAATGCTATAGTCACAATTTCAAAAACGCACTTTTTGTGACAGTGGAATATTAGCATAGCACTTGCTTTGTGTAGGTAATATTAGTTCTACACCAGACTGCTGAAAGAAGAGTTTGATAGTTTGTATTTTAGGAAAAAGTATTTTGATTATACTGAAACCTGAGAAGAGATGATAAATGATCAAGTTAAGCAAGATTTTAGCAGTTTCCATATCACCAGATGTTCAATTAGGTGAGGCAATCTTTTTTAACTGGCACACCTGAAATCTGTCCTTTAACTACAAAAAAAAAAAGCAGCCCACTCATGTATAATTTGTATAAACATAATTCACTGCATTCAATTCACAAAGCTCTACAGCTTAGGAGTAATACAGGATTATATCACTACAGATATGTTCTTTGATACTTAGCTCCCATTCGCTGTTTACTTTAGTGGCAGCTTAATGATGCCTACATGATGATAATCCTTGTAAAATAATCCAATGGTCAGTCACATATTCCAGAGCATAACAACAGATTTTATGAAAGGCCAGGATCACCTGCCTGCTTCGTGACTTGCCTTCTCACAGCCAAGAGTTTGTGCAAGCAGATTATTTTCTATGAATCGTTTGCAAACCTGATTTCTTCCTACGTATTTCATTCTCATTGTGGTTTTCAGTAATTATTTTTATGGAACAAAGATTTTCCTCAAGCTGACAGGATACAATTCCTTGACACAAAAGAGATAACAGCAAAAATTATATACTGCATGTCAAGATCTGCTGCAACGAAACGATGAGGTGAAAAGCTATATTTACAAATACTGGATTCTAGAACTATTATACGGCACTTTCTCTATTTCAGTCTTTGGTCAAGAATCTAATGAATATAATATGATCACAAATCTTTCAGTTATCCTCATGGATAGATTTTCATAATACAAGGAAACAGAACTGCAAAAGCTTTGTGAGATCATATTAAAAGTTTTCTAATTAGCACATCTGTTTCTAGAGGCTTTATGTCAACTAATTATAGTGGAAAACCCAAAGACATGGCCATACAGAAACATCCAATGACCTTAATGGTTCATAATCACAAACAGTAACTTCAAAGTTCAGGGGAAACACTTCTTAATACTTCATTGTGACTGGAATACATTCTTCATAAGACTGAATCAAAATATCTATGGTTTGTCTCAGTCTGATGCAGCTTTTAGACTAGAGGAGTTCTACCTTCCTGTGCTCAGTTTCCAGCACATGAGCTGGTGTGACTTGTAGCACAGCAGTAACCTTTGCCTCTCAGCGCCTATTCTTCCACATCATCTCCACTCAAGTGGTAAGAATAAAAACAGATGCATATTTACAGGTGGATGATCTAGGATGGGATCTGATACAAATCCTAAATGAGGTTCAAATACGCCTCTTAATCAGTAGCAGGACCCCCTCATCACTGTACTATCACATCACTGGGAAAGGCTTGTCACATTATTAAAACTGTTCTTCCATTCAGGCCGCAGGCACCTTAAAATAGATGTGCAGCTACATATCACTATTTTGAAAGCCGTAACCTGTTGAATGAGCAGAGATGTTAATTTCTTCCCTCAGCCTTATTTACACATTTGAATGACCTCAGAGGTAAAAGCTAGAGAATGTGCAGATAACGTGAAAGTTTTCATCTGCATTGCACAGCACATTCTACTTACCTTTACCAAGTTACAAGGCTGAGTACAGTCTTTACAGAAATGAAAAATCATCACATAAATTCATTGAATCATAGTCTTACTGCCTATCCCAACTTCAATGCAAGCTAAACTTTACTAACAGATGCTCAGCATGCAAGCGGAGCCATTCTTGAGTGGTATAAAGAGAGTGGTATGAACAGACCTAATGAATGAAACATTGACTAAAAAAGACAAGTATGTTGTAATAACTGATCAAAACCTGAAAAACACCAACGGTTGAGATCTTTTTACAAATACTCAGCTACCACACTTACAGAGCCTACTGATACCAAGAGCAGCAGACTACTATAAAGCACAGAAGTGTGCATCTGTTGGTGGTTGCTTCAGAAGGCTCTGATATGCAGACAACATCCAAGCATGGTATTTTTGCATGGTACTAGTTAAGCAGTAGTGCAGAGACAAGACGTTAGGCAAGGTATCAGTTCACTGAAAAACTGCCCTCAGGGAAAGAGACCTTGCCAATGGAAATATATTTTTTTTAAACACCAGCAAAGGCTCCTTGCCTTTCTGGTAAATCCCACTGATGGCTGCAGCTGGTAAAGACTTAATGGGCTAGAGGCACTCTGGTAGGTAACATTTTAAAATATATACAAAATTAGGAAAGTATAACTCTAAAGGTTTATGAATTAAATATAAAGGCACTTTTTGGCAGGCAAACGTGTATATATTTGCTGCCTGAGGACAGGAAGTTAGCTAACAGTATAAGTGAAAGATATAACCATTACTACTATGAATGGACTGAAGTTTAAAAATTAAAAATATACATTTGAGTGTTAAAAAACTGAACATGAATGGGTCTCCAAGGGGTGGTTCTTGGTAAAATAATTCTTCTCATGTGCACATTTCATTGATTTGATCTACTACTTTAAGGCAGTTCAAAACACCCAAGTAAGAGTGAGCGCTCAGAAAATAACATAGCAGTCACACCCATACTGGTTAAACGTCTGCAGTAATTGCCTAGCTCTGATTTTTTTTTTAAACATCAATTTTATAATAGTAAGGCTGGTATGTTCTTTAAATAGTTATTCAATGAGGAGGTGCAAAGAATATTATCAATACAAATCAATGCTTTAAAAAGATCACGGTTTTACAACATTTGTAGAAAGATACAACTGCACAATAAATGTAATTGAAAGGATGTGGCATCTTGACGTACACAGCAGTATAAAAACCACCTCTTTAAGAAGCTAAAACCTGCTCTAGTCAAAATAGTAACACTGTTCAAGCTTCATCTGAAGACTGACATTGCTGCTTCGAGTAGAAGAGTATTTGTTATCTGTGTCCTAGAAACCCAGACTGTCTATTTGCCACACGTGTACAGGATGCACAACAGGCTGTTTTGTAATAGGTGTAGACACAAAGCCGGGCCTGAACCACCACATTGCAATTGTAGTATTTATCTTTGCAGTTCTCATCTGTGGAAAAAAAAAGGAAGACAGAATAAACTGAAGAAAACAACAACAGAAAAATAAATAACCAACACCCTTTCCTCTACTACATACGATTCCATTAACCTGCATTTATATGTTCACTAAGAAATTAAAATAGGCTACCTACACAAATAACTGGTTAGGTGATTAAAGTTTTTCCACATTTGATCAAGTTATATAAAGACTTGGATGAAGTGTAAATACCCTCATGTGTACTTCAAAAAATTGGCTTAAATACAAATGATTGGCAAGTTTCTAGTTTTCTGCACTTCATTTTTAGATTCCTAGGTACTAAACTCTTGTGGCAGTGCACAGATGGCAACTGAACCTGCAAATATTAATTTCCAAGTAATGCCAAATTTAAATAAATCACCACCCTCATTAAAAATACCATGATTGGTTGAAAATAACCAGATTAAAGCAAAACCAAAACCAATCAAACAAACAAAACAATTGGTATTGTTAACATTCCCCATTACTTCTTAAGCTGTTCTGATGGAGTCTGCTCACATTTTCAAGTTTTCCTTCACATTCAACAGGTTTAGTTAGAAACAGATTTTAAGTGACAGCTAATATTTTCATACCATTAAGTAATCACTGAAACTAAGGCACTGAAAAAGACCAAATGACAAAATGCTAATATTGTTTATAAAAATGATCCATTCTGTACATGTCTGTTTTAAATGGAGAAGAAACAACAACAGTAATACAATAATATTGTACAACTGTACAATACTGGCATACCGGGTTTTAAAGTAATTAATTTATGCTAAAGAATAATGCTCATTATTAAAATAATTGTTATAGAATATGAGTTCAAACTATTTCTGAATACTTGCATTTTCCTTTCCCTAGCATTCTCATCACTGTGAAATCTGCAGGAGAAGAATGACTAATTTTAATGCCTGATAAACTTGATGTATTTACTGTGTAGAAAATAAAATGACTTAATTGTCCTTCAAGTCTTCAGAATCTTGAGGAAAAAGTGTTCAAGCCACAATGGAAGTTTATAAAGGAGAAAAACAGTGCTTTCTATTTATGTTCTTACATTAAACATTAAATGTTATTGTTTATTCTATGTAATGTTATTGTTTATTATAGAACTTACTACCAAACACACTATATGATACCTGATCTTTTGTTCTTGGTTTTTTTGTTTGTTTGTTTGTTTGTTTCAAGAATCCGCAAAGTGAAACAATTGAGAATGCAAGGAAGTTGTATAACACCACCAGTTTGGGCCACTTCCACAAAAGCATATTTCTCACATTCCTGGCAACTTTAAAAGAAAGCCGATTTTTTAGGTACTTCAAAGAAAAAAGAATTTTTAATCAAAAATGAAAACAAAAACCTTCTTTCAACCACAGAAAAGAGCCAAAGTTTGTGTAAAAACAAAACTCTGTACTTGAGAAAGAAAATCTCTACAACCTCTTTCTCCACTAGATGGAGTTCCATGGTTGAAACACAAAGTTCCTCTACTTTACCTATTTCAGGGATACAGTCCTGTGTGTTACATGGCTCTTTTTCTTCAGGTTTAAGTTGTGGATCACACTGAGTACTGGTTGTCATGTCATCCGATAGACATCGTACCTCTCGAACTCTAAATCCTCCTTCACAGGACTTGGAACACTGCAACAAAAAACAATGTTCACAAAGGCTGTATGAGATTTTGCTAATACAGAGACAAAAATGGGAACCTGAAAGGCACATCCATGTGTATCATTGTAGCCTTTTATCAACTTCTCCACTTCTGTAGTTTTTTGGTTTCTAACTATAAAATCCTTCACATAGAGGTGCAATTTCCTTTACAGTTCAAACCCACTCTTGTCTACACCGGGGGAGCAACTGAACAAATAATTATGCTAGATTCTGCAACTGAAAGCACCCAAGAATGTTTCCCTTTCTGGATTTGTTAGCTTCCTGTTTCTCTAATTAGACTTATTCTCTCTGCTTATTTATATATATCTCCCAAATCTACTCCTTCCTCAAGGTTCATATTCCTTACTTCAACAACTTCCTGTGCTGAACTACTTGACTGCACTTGCCTTCACTGCCCTTTTGCCTCCATTGATACACAGTCAGGAATCATTTTAATTGCTGTTTCTCCAGTGCTTGCTTATTTTCCAATTCTTTCAGCACAATGATTTACTAAGCATTATAGGTTTCTTTTAATTTCTAAAGAAAATATTTCTGCATTCCTTCAAAATCTGTTTCAAAGCCAAAGACTTTCCTAATTGCCAGTCCCGGTATTTCCAAAGTCAATTAATACACAAATTATCAGTGAAGCAAATCCCCTGTTGACTTTAAGAATTTTGTCTGAGTGAGGTTTTGGCTCACTGTCCAGTAAGACCTAAATGCTCACAAGCTTAATTAAACCTGGGTCATTTCTAATTATTGAAACTTTAATTGCCCCAAAGTAATCAGAATCTTTTCTGTTTTTTTTTTTGGCATAGGTGTTTTGTTTGTCATCTTTCCCCAAAATTGCAAAAACAACTTGTCACTAACATAAAATCAGGTATTGTAGCAAGCTGAAATATTCCCAATAGTAAAGTCTTAAAAGGTTCTCTGAACTTGACATACAGCTCTTCCGAAATTTGGAAAGAACCTTCTGCAAAAACAAAAGAATACATTCAGTTTTTTATGTGATTACTCAATGTATGCCTATACAGAATATTGTACTTCTCCTATCCCAAACAACAACAGCAAAAAAAAAAAAAACCCAACTTCAATTGCAATTTGTAGTGATCTTAAAGTACCTAAAATGGAACCAAGACAGAATCTAGAGGCTACGTACAATATAATATATATAAAACTCAGCATTCTGCATTAGCAGCCACTAAATCTCCGTGACTGAACAGGTCATGCCATATATTCTGGATCAAATAAAATGTCTGCTGAAGATATGAACTGGACAGTTTTTGTGCAGGGGGCTCTGAAAAATCCTTCCTCTTCAGTTAACAGTAAGAAACATCACATACCTTGTAGATAACAGTGTGAAAAGGATAACAGAAAAATGCATGGAGTATGATCTTAGAAACCCTCAGATACCATATGCATTTGTACAATAAGGAGGTGGTCACAAAGGCTTACAGCTTTTATGACATCAAGATACTTCTTAGGAATAGGGATTTAAACAATGACCAGGGTTCTCTAGTCCCTATTAGATTTTTAGTTTCAACAGCTTCTTTCTTCCATACCTTTCAGAAAGAATTTATCTGCTGTGTGCTGTGGATGCACATGTCTGGATTTCTTGTGGTTACACTCTTACAGGTTCATACTTGAAAATGAATTTTCTAATTAAAATTATGTAATTTAAACTAACAGTAAATAATTAAAATAATTTACAGTAACATCAAAGAAGACACTTAAACCTGCATATCTTTATCATGAGAGTAATTTGCACCTTTACTTCGAAATAAACATCTATACACATCTGCAAAATAAGGAAGAAAGATTAGGATTTCCTTCATCAGATTTATTTTGCTAAAATCATTCTACCTTCTTCTTCTCTGCTTTCCAGAGGACAGTTCAATAGTTGAGCATTTACTGAAAGTGGGGAAAAAAAGACAATCTTGTTTCACTTGGATGAGGAATTTTCCCAAGGTTCCTCACATTGGGAACTCAAACTGCAGCATAAGCTCCACTGAATCATGAGTAAGCACGCTTACACCAAACAAAACAAGCCATAGAGAAGCATGGCAGACTTACTGTGCTCCATTCTGTATGAAACCATTTAGATCCACAGGGTTTGAGGTAGCAGGATTGCTGGCTGGGAGGTCTTTCCAAATATGAGCATTCATAGGGGTTCAGAACATCAAAATTGCCTTCAGTTTTCCTGACACAAATGATTTCCCTCTGTTGAGTTCCACCACCACATTCAGTAGAGCACTGTGTATCAGAGAACAAAAAAGTAGTGGGATTTGTTATTCTACTATGTCCTTCAACTCACTGCAGAAGTAATGTATTTGTCCACATCACCTGTTCCTTAAATAAAAGAATACACATACATACACACACATACACACACACACATACTTAATATTCACCAGGAAAACTTAACAAACCATTGCTTACTCCCTATTTTTTTTTTTTTACATATTTAGTTACCATCAACCAAAACTCATCACCTATTTTTAATAGGTCCTCTCCTAAGTAAAATTAATTTAACTATACCTTTCATTCAATTTCTGCTATATGTATGACTTAAGGACAAAAGTAAAGGGTAAAGTATTTCATAAGTACCTACCAGTTAGGCAGTCACAGTTAGGAACTAGTCACAAGAAAATGCTACTGGATACAGTAATGACTTAATTAATCAAGTGAAAATGGATTATAAGTTTTAGGTATTATATACTTAACTTTAAATCTTAAGAATGGTTACAGAGGCTAAAACTGTCCTGTCAGTAATTGTTCCAAGTGCTACAGAAGACTGAAAATGCATATCTAATTACTGTTGAGAAGACTAGGAGATATGACTACAATGGTGCATTTGGAGAAGTGTGGAAGTTTCATTTTACCTGTAACTACAAATAGAAATGGACGTGAATCTTTCTAATGAAAAGAGAAGCATAACTTACTTTCTTCATAAACAGGATTGCATGCACTGAACCTGTCTTTGAGGTTCCAAAGTTAGAGCACTGTTCTGGAGCTTTACATATCCCCACATTTTCTGCCTTAAAGAAAATGCCTTGATCTGCCACAAAGTGCTTTTCATGTTTACAAGTGTCTATGCGTTGGTTCTAGTTCTGAGTTTCTCTGTTGCATAAAGGGATATGACTTTCAAAGGCTTATTCCAGACCTAAACATGTAAATGCTGTTTTTATATATATACATATTGAGTGGAATTTGTGATACTGTCCAAAATGCAACATGAACGAAAATGAATGCACCTAGATGAATTCTATACAAAATAATGTAATACACTTTCTCTTAACACTGAACACGTCTCTCTTTTAATGGTTCTTCCAACAGTGTCTAATGAAGTGCAATGCAGAACATCATCCACCTATGCTCCCTGCTCTGCTCTACTGACTGCCTGCTTTCATTGCAGTATTTAAAGTCAGGACTTGACCGGTAGAACAGACATTGTCAGACACTTCTTTCACATATTATACAGCAAATACATTGTTCCATTGCTATGCATCAAACATAATGCCATCTCATACAAACAAAGGTGAATTAGACTTAAGAGAGCAGGAAATTGAGAAGGAAAGAAAATTCCTTATTCAGATCAGAATGGAGAGAGTTAGAATGACCAAATTGCACACTTCTCTCAGTGATAACACAAATGGGTACAATGTTCCTATTCACCTGTATGGAACAGTGTAAGTAACAAGGCTCAGATTTTATGTTATTAAAATTGCATGTTTTATATCTGAAGTTATTATTACTGTTCTACAACACAAATAATTATCACTTACACTTGGAAGCATTTGCATGTAAATGTCCATCTCAGCTGTACCAGTTTAATTTCCAACTCCTTACCAACTGGAATCTGAAATGCAGTGAGTTAACAGCATAGCCAAGAGACTTTTCTCTAAGAATTTGAAGAAATATAGGTGCCAGCCATCATGTAGCTCAGAGAGCCTACACCAAGGGACATCAGTGCCTGGGCACCAGCTGTCAGCTTCTGAAATTCCTTTGATTCTGACAGCAGAAATGTTTAGTAAGAATGAGAAAGAACATTGATGTGCAGATCAGGGAAACTATTTACCTTGAAAAAGGAACATCACAATACTGGCCACTAACCAGATCTTGTTCTTTTCTTCAGCACAGCAAAACAGAAGCCAATTTTAGTCACTGCTATGGACTATTTCGCCTCTTTTGGCTATTGTCTATATCCATAGATCCATAGATATTCATGATTACAAAGGATCTAACTTAACAGCTTTCTGACATCTCATTTCATAAATATGCTGGGTCAGTAGAAGAGAAAAATTAACGTAAGGAGGAAAAGAAGACAGTCTTATTTTCATCAAAGTGAAAAAAAAAAAAAAAAAGCAGGTGAAGAAAAGCAGAGAACATTACTTCAGTAAAATACAGAAAAAAGATATCCAAGCATTCCTCAGAGATGTAGAAATATCTTAGGGCACACATCTTCCTGTTAAAATGCCTGCAGAATGCACAAAGATGTGTTAAATGTAAAGCTTACCTGTGACCAGCTCCCAGCAAACCACTCCACTTTACCAGCACAGGGCCCATTATTACAGGGAGTTGTTTCAGAGGGTCTGTTATTGCCACAGCCTTCCAGAGGCAAACTGCTGACATGATTGGTCATACACACCACTGAACGTGTGCGGATCCCATCACCACATTCTGCAGAACACTGAGGAGGAGAAGACATAACAAGTAGTCAGCAGTACATTTTCCAGAGTGCACAATGAAATGAGAAGGAACAACACCCATGGAAAACGAATTAATGAAAGATCAATTACTTTTACTTGTAATTCAATTGCAGCAGATCATCTTACAGTTTTAGTACAGGACAACTAGTATCTGTCCTTTACAATCACAAATGAAAGAACTTGAAGAAAAAAGAATATTTTTTGTAGCTTTAAAAAATATTCTTAGTTTTCCTTCCATCTTCCTGTCTATTAATATTTTCAATTTTAATTTTACACTTTTTTCCTATCAATTAATGCATCTGAGAAGTGACAGTTTCAACTAGCAGCTTTTCAGGAAGCAGTTCTGTGAGTTTCTCCTCTGGCCATTCAAGCTGTCAGCCAGGAGAACTCTTACACTGATAAAAAAGGACAAGATGAAAATACTCTGAGTAAGTGCCATTGACACTGGGAAAAAAACGACAGCATTGCCCATCCTGGAACTTTTCCACATTGCTAGTTGATAGAGCACAAGAGCACAGTAAGTAGAAAATGCAAACTTCTGTGACAAGTAGTTTCCAAAGACTGAGGTAAGCCCTCTGCAAATAACGCTAGTGGTCACTATTTGTTACCCACCATGTTCTAATTGGAAGTTATTAAGTATAGTTCTAGTAGAAGTGAACATAAAGTTTATTTAAATTCAATGTTGCATGCTGTTCATATGAATCCCAATAACTAATATTCACCATTCCCAAATTTTCACTGCTAAATTTTGTAAGCTTTTATTAAATAGCGATGATATGCAGATTTGTATGTCACACATTTTGGGATTGCATGTATACAATTCATAAATTGAGCACAACAAACTCAATTTATCAGGACTCTCTACACCCCTATAGCGTGGTTATTCACCTACATCAGCAGGAAAGACTCTGATATCTACTGTTCTGGGCAGCATCAAACTGTTGGCATTTCAAGAATAGAGTAATGCCCAAGAAAGTGCATTTGATATTTTATCTCTAGACCATGAAAATAAAGACAAAATACATGCAGCTTGCTCAAAGGTGTGTACATAATTGAATGTAAATAATTACAAGCAATTATATGTGCAAAGAAAATCACAAGTATGCAGAGTAAAGTATGGGAGAAAACATGCGTTCGATTGATGTGTCAGATATTACTCTTAAGATACAAAGTAAGTAGTTAGGAGAAGCTATGCATTACTTTCACAATGAACAGAACGTTCTTTGTGAATCAATGTTGCTCTAGATATTTCTTTTTAAATAAAAGTAAGAATAATTCTAAGGACTGGCAATTAGACACAGAACTGAGTTGGCTCCCACTGGCTTCACATCCAATAGTTCAAGTACAGAACAGCAGATGCTGCTACCAATAAGCAGACCGACCAACGCAGCTATTCCCCACCTCTCAGAGACACCAGTGACTCAACGTACAATTGGCTGCAAAGCAATCTTTAATCACTAGCACCAAATAATACTGGTTATTTGTCTGAAATATGTAGTCATGTGATATTTATTCAGTAGATACAGTACAGAAAAATATTTCCTCCTGTCACCACGTCAGTTTCTTTGACAAGACGTTCAAACACAAGGACAAAGTCTTGCTGAAATGGAATCCCTAGAAAGCTTTAAAAAGTAATTAAACTTCTTACAAGTACTTTTTTAGTAATCTACAATTCTGGAATAACTAGAAAATTGCTAGAAATACAGAAAATGACTAGAAATTCAGAATTTGAAGATATGCTTATGTACTCCACCGGAGTAGGAAAAAGCTGCTCACGGTTTGGAATGACTTCTTCCTGCATCTGCAAAATCAAATAACTGAGCATCTCTTAAATGATTCCTACAAGTAACATAATGAACTTCATATTTCTCGTTGGTGGTGCACAACAAAATTTTCCATTTTTCATACAGACAGAGTAAAATAGACTCAGCTCCTCAGCAAACCAAACTTGATGACTGAGGAGGTCTTTCCAAGGTAAATTGACAGCGTTTTGCAAATACTGGGATGATATACATTGTGCTAGCACTGAACATTTTCTCCTTTATGTAAACTAAACCTAAACTAAACCTATTTCAAAATGTTCCACTCCTAGGTAAACTGATTAACTGAGCCTCATAAATGGCTGCCTTTCAAACCCACTGTACTGAAATAAGCTTTCTGCCTGTTCATATTTTATCCAGGGAAGTTTTTCAAATACATTATGCACAGAGAGGTATGCATCTACTCTGCAAATACTCTTCTTATTTGTACAGTAATTTCCATTTGACAATCTAATTTTTTTGCCTTGCAAACAAAACAGAACTGAGAATAAGTTTAGTCAATAAATTAATCCAGAAAATCCCCACAGTATTATGTTTTAAATGATTATGTATTAACTGGGCTTACATATCAAAGGAAATTCCAAATGGGAAGGCATTGGATTGCCCCACCCTCGACCATAAGATTTTACTACAGGTTAGCTACCCTCAGAGGATTTATACAGCAAATATAAACCTGCATGTTTCAGAGTTAAGGTTTCCACCCATCTCCCTACCCCCCCCCCCCCCCTTTTTTTTTTCTTCCTTCCAATAAAAATCTTCCCTGTGAAAGCCATGATTTCCAAAGTTCAAGGAATTTAGCAGGGAGTGTTTGGATAATATTCCTCTCCCTTTAGTTTCTGCAATTGACACACCCACTATCTTCAGTTTTGTGCCATTGATTTGTCACATTAATACACTGTGACTGCCACAGCCTAACAGAGTATGGCATGTTTTGTTACAAAACCTGAAAAGAGCTTTCACAATCTGCAACTTCTCTTTTCTGATCATATTATTAAAGATATTTTGTTTCACTTTCTTGCTTTAATTGGCAGAAATTCCTCCAAAAAGGTTCGCCTGTGGAACACCCTCCCTAATTTAAGGAGTCTGTCATTTCCTGTCTTCCTGGTTGTCCTTCCTTCATCAGTGCAGTTTTAGAAGCTTTCCATCCCCATTAAAAGAAAAAAAAAAAGAATAAAAAAGATATCAATGTTCTGACAGCTGCCAGAAAACAATTTTGACATCAGACCAAGAACATGAGGCTAGTTGCTGCTAACTTGAAAAACCGTAAGTGGAAGCCTGAAATTTTGTCCCTTCCACAGGGAATGGCTGAGCTAGTAAAAGCCTTGAAACTAAGCCAGTTCCCTTTCACTAATGCATCAGTACTACTCATTGCCCTCCACTGGGACAAGTATAACTCATGGGAAAGAATCAGAAACAAACCTACCATCCAACTCCAGAGTTCTTCTGCCCAGTTATAGCCAATTTTGTTCCTGAAAAACATTTCCCAATTTGGGCAGGATTTGCCTACTACGCCTGCCTGGTAATACAGTATTTAAAATGCATTATACTGTCGATGTTACACTACTGCAAAAAATGAAATTGAAGACCGATTTATGAAACATCTTAGCATTATTTGCTTTCTGAAAAGGCTGCAGTCATTATTCTCTCAGATAACACATTTTACAGTGATTTTGTAAGCTCTGGTTTATCAGTACAAAACTAAGAGCCATGATTTCAGAAGCTCAGTTCCAGCCACAGTTCCAAGACATGGGACGCAAAGAACATTAACATTGTTGAGAACGGTCTTGATTTCTTAAAAAAAAAAAAGAAAAAAAGAAAAAAAAATGAGGGTTGTGTCTGAAGTATCCTTATGTACTGCCAAACTTTAAGATACTGTTACTTAAATGATTTCCCTTCAGAGTGCATCAACATATACAGTAGACGCTGGATCAGACGTCAAACTCATCCTGCATTTAGTTTAGTCCAGCAGACTATCCTTCCAAGGTAACAGAAGTTTAGAAATATGCTTAGACACTTCAGTGGGACCATGATTGCTTCCACATATGCACTGATATTTTCCTTTTAAGTGGTTGCTAACACTGTTGCTAGTTACATATTACTAATGAACTCTGAAGTATTCCAGCTCAGAACAGACAGCACCAGCCTTTGAAGTGATGAGGATGTCTCAGAGCACCATAGGGCTGATCGGCCCTTACAAGCCTTGCCCACGGTCTCCACCTACACCCCCAGCTCATGGGCCCAGGGACTCCCATTGAGCTCTATTCCAATGTGTTTGTCCTCAGCCACAGCTTTGCCATGGGCCTCACTGACCCTTCACCCTTGGAACTGCTTCCCAGATTGATCTGAACCCTGTCTCCTCACCATGGACCTGCCTAGCAATCTCTGGTCTATGTCTGACTCTGGTTGCTGTCAGTGGACCTAACTTGGATTAATTTCTCATCTTGAGCTTGGACCTGCCTCATCACCGTGATCTTCTCTCTTTTGAACTCTCCTGTGCACCTGGCTGCTCTGGCTACCGAACTGGGATGCTGTGGCCCTAGCTGGCAAGGCCCCTGCCGTGGTGACTTTCACATCATGTTTCACTTCAGGTTACCAAACTGGACAAAGCAGAAGGCTTTTTATCTATTTATCTAAAACCCTACAGTGAGCATCTATGCACAAACTTAATGAGTTATAGAAAGCAATCAAAATTCAAAGTCCAGAAACAGGTTACATATGTCACTACAGAGTTGGGCTTGAATAATTAATGCTGCTGAGAAGGCTTTTGGAGTTGATTTCTACTTCCACACTGGAGCATCAGTAAATTTAGTACGGTTGAGTATATGGGCAAATCTAACTTCCAATAGGATATAAGAAAGAGAGCACATTCATTCAGATATATTCAAACACATTCAAAGAGGTAAAAAGTGAAGAAGGCTGTCAGTTTTGGGCTCTGGATGATGACATCAATTTGCTTGAATGAGGCCAGTAAGGCAGCAAGGAGAAAACAATGGTTACTGAAGTAAAAGGCTGTCCCATCCATGTGTTAGATCTCCCAAAACAAGATGAAGGCTTATATGGGTCTCTTGACAGGTGAATAGACAGAGATCCAGTGATAGGCATAATAGTGGTAGGAAAAAACAGAACAATAGATTTTAAAATATTTGACCTTGGAAACAGCAGTGCCTTCATACATGATTTTGATTTAGTTTGATTTCTGGGAGACATGAAACAGCAGGTTATACAAACATTAGAAGTATTTTTAGTATTTTTGTGAACACCAGGTATCTTTGTAATTAATGTCATTGTTGTGTGATTAAATACTAGCCTGCCTTACTATAATTCTAATCTCTGCATAATTTCCTTTAAAACCAAAGATATGACAGCACTGCACATTCACCAGAGTTCCCTTATCTACCTTTAAGCAAAGCACTTTGGTTTTGGCCGTTAGAAGTAGTTTAGAAAGTCTAAAGCAAATGAATTTTGTCAAAGAGAGATCAGCTGAGGAGAAGAAAAAACATTCTCTGTAGGTTTTGGCCACTCTTCTATCGGTGTCTCCTTCAAAACTCTCCTGGCTACGCATTTCATTCTGCAAATCATGAGGTTAGTCACAAATTTATGCATAGGGAACTTCTGCTTTCATGTGATTTCCACATGAAATCCACACAAAGTGATATTTAGTTTTGTTTTCAGTTTAAATTGGAAACAGCGATAATAAAACCTAGCAAAACACTTGCACAAGCTCCATGGTGGTCTCTTTGCCTTTATCTTTTCAGGATCTAGGAGATTTTACTTGAGCTTTACGGATTTTAATAAAAAACTGGGAAAGAAGAGTGTGAGCTGCAATATGCTCCAGTGGTTCCACCTTTGACTGGTCAACATGCCCACCTTTACCAGTTAGGTAACATTGTGGGTGTGTGAGGAATAAGGCACTGATTTTTAGAAAGCACACTGTAATTCTCTAACGAAAGATATACAGAAGTGTTCTGTAGCATACTGGAAGCATTGCAGTTACTCCTTTTAAAAAAACTGAAATGCAGAGCATGTGTTTGATCATTCTGGATTGTGATTCCTGATGAGTAACATTTTCTTTCTTCTTTATAGTTTATTTTGGCCTCAGAATCTCATTAACATGTACTTTGGCTTTTTTTCTAAGAATGCTGTAAATCTAAAATGACAAACAAATGAACAGAGGAGACAGCAATGAATAAAAATGCAAGAAGAGAATGCTGCAGATAGTTGGCAGAAAACACTGATGAATCTCCCACTGCTGTAAATCAGAAGGACCCAGTTTTCTGCTTCTGAGCCGTGGGAGAAGTAATCATTCCAGAAATTAGAGCTGTCAAACAATCAGTCATGTGAAATGTTTGCAACAATCTCATCAACTCCAGTCAATCTAGTTTTGCTGCCGAGTTCAGTAAGGTTCACTGGCATTACTCTGCTGATTAAAGCATGCAGTTTGGTGGATCTCTGCAGTTTTAATTCAGCATTCCATCCTAAGAGAATCATGAAACAGGAAGCCATCCTTACACAAATGCATTTAAGTACATCATGAAGGTTTGCCTAGATTGCCTAAAGGTAAATAGATTTAAAGATAATGTAGAAGACAAAGCCATGAAGCTAAAGCCAATCCTCTTCATTTATACTGAAGATACAGAAATAAATGTACCACATATGGGCACGTACAAAGTCAGATGAGTCTTGGTAGAGACTTTTAGCCTGTACTCTTTCTTTCCCAATTAAATGAGTAAAAAAAGTCTGTTTCAAATAGATCCTGGGAAATATGAGGATACAGTATTTACAACTACTTCAAGGACAAATAAAAGAACTTGTAATTTATAGCAAATATGTCGGTTGTTCCGAAATTAAGTATCCTATTTATTTCCACGGAAAGTAGAACTGATACAAAAAGCACAAGAACACTACTTGATGGAGAAAATTGTCAGCTACAAAACACTCTTTTTCAACATAGTCACCACCATTAGCTATGCATTCTTGCCAGTGCTGAACAACAGCCTGCATGCCATGTTCACAAAGTCTTTTACCATCGGAGACGCCCCATTGTCACTGTCATCACTGCTAAAATGCATCTTCTACTGCCTCACTGTGCTCACATCCACTGCTTGGTCTCCATCAACATTCAGCAAATGTCAGTGAATGTCAATGGTTGCATTTTTTTCTGCATGAAGGAATTCAATTCCATCTCTTTGCATCATTCATACTACCATGTCAGATACCATCTTGTCAAGCTGCCCCTCTGCTGTCATCTATCACATGGCAAACTGTCACAGAATATTGGTAGGAAGGTTCACCCTCTACTGGCACACCACCAACATCCACATCTGCCATAATGAACCAACATCATAAAACAGGAGGCATTACTTTTGGAGCAGCCCTCATACAACAGTTTGTTTTTTAAGGATAAACAGCTTTCAGTTATCAAATTGAGAAATTTAGAACACCAGCAGTAAAGCACAGCATCATTTTTATGTTAACAAACTGTCTTTCTTGAGGCTTCAAAATTAACCACATCTCTACTGAAATACCCCATTCATTGCATAATTCTGTATGGGCAACGTTGATCTATCCTGTGCTGAAAGAGAAAGCATGCACTTAACCCGCCTCTGCTCTGCTTGCTGCATATGCACCAGTAGACACTAAGTGTCTGCAAAACAGGATCAGGAAAGTATGGATCAGGCCTTCTCTTATGACTTCTAATCAAGTTTAAGCTCAACCATTTTAAACTTTGTGTTCTCAAAAGTCAAGATAGATTCTTTTACCTCTCATTTCTGGCCACAGCCATAATGTCAAAACACAATGGGAGAGACTGTTCTGTGGTATTTACATCTGGGCCTTGAAGTAAGCATGTAATAAATCTCACAATGAAGGTCTGTTCTTGTGACATTTCCACCACAGTTTTGCAGACTCAACAGGTTTGAACAAGGTTTCTTTAACCATCTGAACTTTTGGCTGCTTATCTGAACCATTTGTGGGCTGCCCATCACTGATCTATGCTTACTGCTGAAATGTGGCTTGGCTTGAAGTATTTTTTAAAGAATTTTTTGGGGAGATTACACACACAAAGCCCATACAACCAGGAATGCCCATTTTCACTCCACGACATGTGTGATTCTGCACATTCCAGTCTTAATCTTTTTTTCTTTCTTTTTTTTTTTTTCTCTCTTGAAATGAGCTGTTTCTTCCATTCTTCTTTTAGAAACAAACTCCAAACGAATTGCTGGCAGAAACGATGGTGAATATTGCCAGCAACAGTAGCAAGCATTTGGAAGTAATTAATTTGTTCACTTATAAAATCTGAGAAGGTAAAAAATCCATTATTTACTCTTTGACCCTAAGAAATTTGTTGTAGGAAAAAACTCTGGTATTTTCTACATTACCTACTTCACTTTTATGTCTCATTTAATACATACAAATAAGCATAGTAACATTCTGCAGTCCCAGCTATCAGCTACAGAAAGTATTTTTAATTCTGCAGCACACAAAATGTCAGTGTGGGATAACAAAAAAAAATGGATTCTAGAAACTTCATTGGAATGTGTGTGCTTTATGTGATAGAACTGCATTAGCTGATGATGGTAGCTGCAAATATTTTCCCTCCTCTCCCCCATAAGTCATTTACTCAACAGTAAAATCTTTCCCATTTCCACTAACATCTGTAATTCCATTGATAACTTCCTGCCATTGCTACGCAAGAAAAGATCTTTTCTTAATAAAATGTATTTGAGTTGTCTGGAGGTTGAAAGTTTTGCAGGTCTCTAATTTTAGCAAAACTTGATCAGTCTTTCTAACATCGTTATAATTTGTGAAGTTCCTCACCCTTCTCTACATCTGAAAGGTGATGCAGATCTTTTGAGTGCCCAGATTTGTATATTATCCTGGTTTTTGGAGATTCTACTAAAATCATATAAATAATGAACCTGTGAAGTTAAGAAATCGTCATGTTTCTGTAAGTGAAATTATTTGCCTGCCAAAACAATCAGTCAAAGAAAAGGGAGATATAATCAGGATTTCATAGAGAGTGAAAACTTGGCTTGTGGATAGATGGAATCTGATATGCTGTCATCCATGAGAAAGATCAAAATACCAATTTTGTCTTAGCTTAAGTTCATCAGCCTTTTAATGAAAGCACGAGTACCAACAGTGAACAACGTCTTGGAACCCAGACGTGAAACAAAACAAGGTACATCACCACACTTTGTATGGTTTTCATGCTCAGAGTCAGACTCACTGGAATTAAAAAATACAGATATTCATGAAATACAGAAAGTCTCAATTCAACCTTTCCTGAGTTTGTGAAGTTGCTCTCCTCTTTTAAAAGCTATAGGAAAATTGTTTTATGGCTTCAACTTAAAGCCAGACATCAGACCTCAAACTTCCATCACTTATAGAAACAGTAGGGAAACTCCTAAGATCTGAAGCTTAAGACTTGGGGCTAAGCAAGGCAGAGCAATAAATCTCAGCTCACTCAGTATTTTGGGAAGCTCAGACACAGATCAATGCTAAATCCAGATGTTCAGCCACATACTCATGATCTATGCATTCTTGTATCTAACATGAACTCAAAGTGCCTTTGAGATCCTTGTTTTTTGTACATTCTTGCCTATTCTACAGATCAAACACAAACATAGATAATACGTTCACTCCTTCTATGGCTAGATACATTTACATATTTTTTAAATTCTGATGCATTTAAGTTGTTTTAGAAGATTTTGCAGTACATAAAGACAATGAGAAGCCTCACCCTGTCGCTCCATTCTGTAAGAAACCAGCTCTTAGCACAAGGTCCCATGTCACAGTTCTCAATATCATTTGGCCGCAGCTTCATGTTACACTCCTCATCATCAACAACGTCTCCAAGGTTGCTGACACATTTCACATCTCGAGTCCTCTGCCCCACTCCACAAGGTACTGAACACTGTAACAAACAGTAGTTTGCATCAGGACTCTATACAAGATCTATCACTTCATACACAGCTCATTTACTGATAATAACATACTCAGAGAACCATCTCAGATTTAGGAACGGGGGATAGAAACCAGTTAGTAGTTTCAAAACTGTATTTTCAGTCTGAGCATTCTATTGCATACTATGTAGATATATTTGAAAAACATAAAATCAAATCCTATCTGCAATGAGCCTTTCTGTATCTAATCAAACTGAGCTGCTGGTATTTGAATAACACAGTGACGTACTCTGCAAAATTTTGATCTTGGTCTATACACAGACACAAAGGTAGAGAATTGAAAAGAAAAACATCTTTTGAATCCCTGTTAAAAGGTAAGGCCTTCTGCTCTCTTTTCTTCTGGAACTTTTCATGGTCTGTCTATTCACACAACTCAGCAGCTCTGTAAAAGTTTTTTGCTTTGTTTCATGTCTAACTGAAAGAGATTTGTTTATCACTACACCTAACACACTGGAATACTTCCCCTCCCTACAATGGCCATAGAAGTATTGAGGATGGTTGTCACGTTGGCCAGAAACTCTGTAAACAACAAAGAAATTAAAGCTCAAAACTGTATTATTCATGTTTATCTGAGAACCTCAGCACAGCCTCAAACCAATTACTACTGACTGTCTCTATACTTAACACATACATAAGGTTAAATCAGTCCTCTAACTAAACTCCATATGCTAAGAAAAGCCATCAGTTTTTCACCACAGGCAAACCTACTAGCCTTCTTTTAACTTCATTTCATAGAGTATTTTTAAAAAGCAATCATTGTTCAGAAAGCTTAAGTGCTTCTGTGCATAGAGATCTGTGTGTTTTGTTCTACACAACCACTCTTTTTCACCTTTAGAAAAACATTAATTGTCACAATCACGCAGGTTATTTCTGAACTAATATTTCCTTATTTCTGGGGCTGTTCACATTCTGCTTCCTTGCTTTAAAGAAGATCAAATTTACTTTTTAATTGCTGATACGTTTGAGAAAATACTTATTCTTTTCTGAGGTTTTTATGCTCCAAACTGATCAGTCATACTTACTGAAGTCCACTCTGTCCTAATCTGCCACTCACTGCAGATCTTCAGCTGGCAAGTGCTGGTGGTCTCTGGTTTCTCCAGGTGATGGCAGCGGTACTGCTGAACTGTCAAGGTACGGTTGGCATATATTTGCCTACATAAGATCTGTCGATGCTGCATGCCAAGGCCGCATGTTTTGCTGCACTCAGACCACTCCCCTATGTCCCAACTGAGGGAAAGGGAAAAAAGGGAATAAAAAAAAAAAAAAAGAGCAGCTTTTTCATAAGATTCCTAAGATTAATCTAATGCTAATCCCAGTAACACTCTAAGGACATGATTCTAATTGAGATGATACTTAAAATTCTGCATGCAAAACAATCACTTATGAAGATAACATTATATCCTACAAACAATCTAGCTGTAATGGATGGTACTAATAAGCACGTGTTCAGATTGCACAATTCACGTTTCAAAGCATATTACAAACACCGAGTCACTAATAGTTGTGTTGTTTTGTTTTGGTTTTTTTTTTTAGTTTTAAAGAATCTATCTATAATATATATTTGTGCCTTAATGATACCTTCTAAAAATTTAAATCATATTGCATTTTTTTGTTTTCTGAACTCAGTTCAGCAAAGGCTCACAAAAATTACTTATTCCATATAGGCATTAATTCAACAATAAAACCAAAATGGCAAATGATCATTGAATATAGAATCACACAATGACAGAATGGCCCGGGTTGGAAGGAACCACAATGATCATGAATCTGCAACCACCCCTCCACATGCAGGGCCACCAACCTCCACATTTAATACTAGAGCAGGCTGCCCAGGGCCCCATTAAACCTGGCCTCAAACACCTCCAGGGAGAGAAGAAAAAATCCCTAGATACATTTTTCTAATTACAACACAGATTTCACACCATTTCTTTAATCTTTTTGTATAAACATTACATTTTCCCTGTTCAATTTTAGTTTCAGGCATAACACATAAGGAAGGGAAATATCTGAATAGTTCAAACATTTTATTACGGAACTCCTGTGGAGAATGAGTGAAATCCCTGTGCTCTTTCTAGTATTTGCATTTTGATATTAAAAAATTACAAACAAATATTATTTTAAAATAATATTTACATATCTCTGTTTATATTCTTGATATTGATCTCTAAAAAAAATGAAATAAGAAAAAAAGGAATTAATGAGTTGTCAAAAAGAAAAACTTGAGAAAAATGATTTACAATAGAAAAAATCTCCAAGTAAATTGCTCCACAGGAATCACATCTGAGCCTGTGATATTGGGAGCTCTAGAAGCAATGGTTACCACTTTTAAATCCAGTCTTCGAGCAGAGCTGAACAACTACTGAATTCCAGAAGAGAGGTCACGTTTATGAGGGGGCTGTTGTGAGTTCTACCAGGTAAATCTCATCTTTAAATACAGCACCATGCAATGAACAGGCAGGTACTGCAGCCCACCGATCCCACATGAGGTGATGTAACCTACAGAGCCTCTTTAGACAAGTATTTGCAGAAGGCTGTCACTTGGTATAAAGAAGATTCCCATAAAGAGACCACAGGTATAACGTGTATGCCTGAATAACCACACAAAACTGAGAAATTACTGGGCTCACTTGGTGACAACTTCCCTTTTGACTCCTCTGAATGCTACTGCTAGTGAAAATGGATGAAGACAAATCACTAAAGGAAAAAATACACTCTGCACTTCATAATGTTAAGTGCACAGTGCCTAGAAGTTCAAACTCGTTTCCTACTCCAGATGTTCTCCTGCAAAACTGCAATGACACTGGATTATTTCTCTTGACTTAAATCACAGTATCTTACAAAGCTGGACATGGGAAAATGTTGCAGGCCTCCTCTTCTGGAATAGGTTTGGTGCTGCTGTCACAGTAATTCTCAGGAACTTCCTCATGTGTGACTCTGTTGACACAGTGGAAAACTGGGTACTGGGACCCTGAAATGAAAATTAGATGATAGATGGCAAAAAATTCTGCAATATAAGCTTTTTATAGCAATAGAATCCAAAACAGATACAGAAAGAAAAAGCATCACAAGCACAGCGTAACAAGAGGAAATTCACACTAAGTTTTTATCCAAAACTTCCAAACATACTTGAAAGCTATACTGCTTACATTGTAATATTAAGTAAAGTGCTTAGTACATAGAAAGTACAGCACAGCATTGTAGGGAAAGCTAAGAAAACACCTCATTTCTGTTCCAGTAACATTCAAGGAGGTAAAGATCTGATGGAAGCCCTGCAAAACTGTCCTGTAAAGATCAGAAAACTGTAGACAAAGATACAAAAAGCATGAAGAGTGTATCAGACAAAAGCTGGAGAAGCCAAACTGAAGTACAAGGAATGACAAAGAGCACTGAGGAAAGCTGCTGTGTATCAATGGTGTAAAAGAGCAGCCTGACAAAAAATCCTGAAATATTCACCTCCAGAAGCAAATGCTGCATTCTCTTTTAATTTATATACTCTGTACTTCAGTTTTTTAAATTGTTTTATTGAAGTGCACTTCATAATACAGATTTCCACATTTCTCCTCTCCAACACCAGAATTCTGCTGTATCTATTTTCTGTGAATGCTATATGAAGCACTTACCTTTCCCACATGTAGTGGTACACTCAGTTTTTCCAATCTGTTTCCAGTTGTATTCTCGGTTTTGTCTTGATAGCTGCACAGCAGGCACCTGGTTTTCTGGCTGATGAGAAGGAAATCTTCCTGGCTGAATAACTGGGAAAGTTCCAACTGACTGTCCAGTGATAGTGTCTGTCTCCCTGTGCAAATCCTCCTCATTGTGATTTGTACTTTCAGGCATTTCTAACTGACCATTCAAGGGCTCCCCTGATGATGGAAAGCGTATTGAAAAGAAAGGAACATAATGAACCTCACGTGCAACTAGTCTGTTTTCATCCACTAATAATCAGTACACTGGAGTATCATTAAGCATGAAAGCAGCTTTTATTTCTTATGCAGAGACTTCTAACATTGGTCTATGAAGACTGTGTTGTTTTATACTAAAACAGCCAAGTCTTAGCCAGCAAACACTTTAAGAACAGAAGACTCTCCAATCACACTGTAGAATTAATGCTCCCTGTCAACGTTTTCCAAAGCATTTTTTGTAACATACTCTGTATTCTGTGTCTCCTCGCATCACTGTACAGCTGTCCTTCAGTACGAACAGCCTGCATAAAAACTTAGAAATTTGTCAAGGCATGAACAGTAAAAGTAGAAAATTTACAAGTGAGTTTGGTCCTACTGTCCTTCAGAACTTCCTATTGGTACACACAGCACACCTCTCCACAGCTCAGAATCAAGATCATAATCTGTCCAAATTCTAGCTTGGAGAGGTACCAGTTTTATCTCTCATCCTCTCTGGTTGGGAGAAGAAAATGAAAATGAGAAGGATTGTTTTAAATTAGCTCAAACTCTGAAAAGAAATATCTAATTTCTGAGACACGGCTACAACAATCCAGTTGTAACAACTACAACAATCAAGTAAAGCATACAGTTAACATTTTAAGAACAAAACTGTTGCTGAAAATAGAAATGTATGATGAGATTCCCAGCTACTCAGGTCAGCAGAAATTCACTTAACAAATCTATGCAGACTTCTATTTCAATGAGAAAGGTGAAATTCTGGGCCTTTCGCAAATTGTTTACACTGTACTTAATGGTACGGATTTCTCCATTAGTTTATCAGGAAATAGAATGTGCTTAGTAATAGGAAATACTGGCGTTTTACCTGGCCTCCTGTGAGCAAGCAACTGAGGACTGATGACATTGTCTCCTGGAATGATATACTCATAATGTATACCTGGGTTAGGCTGCTGGTGTATCATCTAAAAAGAAAAGCAGCCATTTATTAGCTTTTTCCAATCGTTATATAGCTAACGCTGAAAAATGGACTTCAACTGATCAACTGTGTAACATTATTTATCATTGGTTATTACAGAAACAATGCTTAATGATCGTGTTTAAAAGTGAAAAAATAAGGTGACTATGTTTGCAAACTGAGATAGCTTGTGATGGCACATAAACTGTTTCTCTAAACCTTCCATAAAAACCACAGGTCTGACAGGCTGTAGCTGAGCGCAGCTGCAGTGGGCAGGACCCACCCTGGCCTGGGCAGTCACCAAAACACTGACAGGGGGAGCTTGGCAGATGCCTCAGAAAATATGAGCAAGAAAAAAACAAAGCAGAGAAAAACAAGTGCCACACACTCTGATCTACAGATCAAGCCGCCTTTTTAAAGGTTTATCAGATATACCAAACGGAGCACGTGCAAATCAAACAGTTTGTTCTATCATCATGCAGCTACCCCTACACCACTCAGTGGTGTCTCAACAGCCAGCTAGCTAAGTTACTAATAGTCTCATCATATGCATTACTCAACAAAGCTTAAGTGAACAGATTATAAAGGCCCCCATACTTATCAGGGTGACTGGAGAGGCATCTTTCCTGCATGGCCATTTGCAAGTGAATGAAGACGTAATGTACTTGCAGACACAGTCCCTTCTCACTGCTTTATAGCAAACCACAACAACTCTTTCAAGTGTTCTTTATGAACATATGTGGGAACCTTAAACTTCGCTGCTTTTAATATGAAAACAAATGCAAGTGTTTTCAGAAGGCTGCTGAACAGCACCATGCAAGTTGACATGAGCACACCTCCAAAGGCAGTTCTTGTGTGCTTACCTAAGTAGGCAGGCATAATGAAGCCTAAGAAGATATGACATTAAGAAAGTTTTGAAAACTGATAGCAGAATACTCTAGTTCCCTACTGGCTTTGCTGCTGAGAGCCTCAGAACACCCATACCAGAAATGCACAGATGTCATCAGCTGCTAACTTCACTCATTTAGCTTTGATTACTTCAGAACTGCTTCTACTGCTTTAAAAGTCCTAGATTCTCTGAGGGGTAGAAGGTCCAAAGTACACTTTAACTTAAAATCTGTTTTAAAATAAATAAATGAAACCCCAGAGCTTGCAGTAGTTCTCTGGTCCTAACAAACCACAAGCCAAAAGGCAAGGAATCACGCTATGCCACTGGCTATATGACCTACAGTAGATTTATGCTTCAGGCTTTCAATAATTTGTCACACCAATTAACATCAACGAAGGACACAGACCTTTCTTTTCCCTTATCCTAGAATCACTTTTCCCTTTTCAAGTATAATAGCTAAACAATTCTGTAAACCATGTCCCTTAGAGATCATCTACTTTAAGCCATTTGATGATATGTTATCTGGAGAATTTTCTGTAAGGGTTGGTCCTCCTAACATTACATTGTTATTTAAAAATACACCTTCTTTGTCTTTCGTGCTGAGAGAACCAAGCACTGAGGAGTTGGCTGCCAAGTACTCCTCACCTTCCTGCATCAGGACCCTCTTCTTAAGATGGTTCCAGGATCAGCTTCCCAATTGTTTCCATGGTTTTTCCACCACATTTCTACAACAGCTTACAGGCACATTAGAGTGAGCTTAACTGATGAAGTCCCTACGAATATATTGTAATAGCTTTCCCATAAGGAGGATGGAATTATACAGCACTGTTGCTTTTGAGATAGAGGACCAAAGTCTTTGAAGCAATGCACACCTCACACTTGTAAAGCACTTCTTACCATCTTGCTAATGAAACCTGCTGTAACTTACAGAGTGTTTTTCCTTATTTTATCTTAATTGAGAAAGGAAGAAAGACTGCATGGTCTCAGCAAATAGGAACAACAATCCATTTGGAGTTACCATCTGCAAATCTTTCCATTTTTCTACACAGAGTAAAAATGTAGAGTAGAGATGAAAACAATTACATGCAGGACAAAGACTGAAGACATTGTATCTGTGTGACTACATATTTCAAACTCGTAAAAGAGGCTGGGTCATTCTTACCCTTGGATTTCTTTTAGCTAGCTCTCTTCCAGTACAGTATGGGAAGATAAATATGGAAAGACAAATACGGAAAGACAGGAAGACGCTATGCTGTCAGCTTATAATGAATTCTAATATTTCTCATATCTACAAGAAACATCTCAGATAACAGTCCAGTCAAATTAGATTTCACAATCCACAGTAGCAGACACCGAGCAAAACTAATAAAGCTGTGTCCATCATGCCAGCTTTATTATACTCACTGTAAAAGAAAAAAAATATACCAAGTATAAATTTAAACATTAAGATATTTTATACTTCAACTGAAGTTGTTTTGTGATACTTATTTGAAAATATCTCCTTAATCCATTTCCTGATCCACTTCTTCCTGGATCATCATATATTACGCATCAGTCAGATAGCAATAAAAACTTAAACATCAGCTCAGAGCATTATGTGAAAGAGATAGTAAAATACCCAAAATTGTGTTGCAAGAATAAAAAACAAAACAGTTACAAGTGTTAGTATTGAATGCAGTAAAGTGTTGCATGTGAACACCAAACAATTTTTTTTTTCCTCAGAAACATTATCCTACAAGAAACTTACATAGACATCGAGGACTTCGTTTGTTGGACCATCAGCTAAAAAGGACTCTCCTGCAGTGCTGGATATTTCATTTGGGCGCTTATAAGTGAACATTGTCCCACCACCTTCGTATCTTCCAGGTCGATCAATTGCCCAGTTTCCATTGATGATGGACCGCCCTGATCGACTCCGCAAGGCTGTACAGAACAGGGAGAGAGACACAAAGACATTGATCAAAAGAAATCACCTTCTTGTACTGGAATCCTATCAGATTCCCAAGTGTATGTTACACTGCTACATATTCCCTGACCTTGGGGAAAAACTGTGTGATAGTAGAAAAGAACAGTTATATTAACAGTTGTGCAAAAAAAGGCAAGCTTAGAAAACTTTGCCTGACTGCTCACATGACAGACAGAAAAATTAGACAGCTTGGAAATTTTTTCCAACAATTTTTCATAGGATGTCATACAAGTCTCTCAGCCAGCCAGTGGCATGCATTCTGAGATGCCAAGAAAGTGGTTTTTCTCACCTTCCTTTCCGTTGAACCAAGTATTTTATGAACAAGACATAACAAAACACAGAAGCAGATACAGAAAACCACTACATTACACAATGCAGAAGAATCAAACAATCAGTTAGTCTAAGGACACATGAAAATCCAAGGCTGACAAATATTCCCATTAGTCTTCACGAAGCCATTTGACTACACTTCCTTTTCAGAACATTATCTTTGCCAGAACATCTGCAGAGCCCTTATCTCCAGAACCAGGTGGAATGACGAGATATGTGAAAATCTTGCAGATGGGAAAGTGACTTGTTAATCACATAATAGATAAGGAAGTATAAACATGGATTCAATCACAGAATCACAGAATGGGTTGGAAGGGACTTTTAAAGATCATTTTGTACAACCCCCAATCCCGCTGCCAGAAGCAGGGACATCTCCCACTAGATCACACTGCCCCAAAGCCCCAGCCAACCTGGCTAAGGAGAGCCCACTTTGGGCAACCACTTCCAGCACCTCAGCACCTTTGTGGTAAAAAATTTCTAATTACTAATCTACATCTAACTGCTTTCAACATGAAACCATTACCCCTTGTCCTACACTACTACAGTCTTTCATCACCTTTCCTGTGAGGTTCCATTAACCACTGAGGTGTGAACCAACTGTGCAGTGCATGTCCTTTGTGATCACGGAGAACACACTGATTTTTAGGTGCCTCTGCTCCCTCTTGTTTATGCTCCTTTTATCTGTATGGCTATAATTTTAAGTCCCTACTTAAACTCGTGTCATGTGCACATGCATAACTTCATGCAACATTAAATTTCTGCAGCTCTTATAGTATCTCTAGGCTGCAGCCACATCAGATGCTGTTTAAGTATGACGGAAAGATTTGATCCTTTCCTCCAAAGGCTCTACTCAGCCAATTTTCAATTTCACTATAAAACACAGAATCACCAAGGTTGGAAAAGACCTAAAAGATCATCCAGTCCAAACAAATTGTTCTCAAATGCAGACTTAGAACAGACAATGAAATTTACTAATAATTTTGCAGCACACTGTATATTTAATGCAAATTCAATGTACTAGCTTTCACTTTATAACACTTTAGGGTTGAGGACCTGGTTACATCAAAGATAGCTTTTCTGTCCTGTCACAGTTGTGAGAAATAGATAAAATGCAACACTTTCAGAGTCCTTGTTCGGTAAGCCAAAAGGTTTGAAGACTTTTTCTCCTATGGGAATTTCTGATGCTGACTAACCTACTGTTTGTAACTTGTTTAATCTCAATGAAATTATTTATAGAAGAAAACTTCATTGTGTTTTTTAAAAATATTATAAAATGCGCTTAGATACAACCATGTATCTAGGCCTCTTGTAAATCCCTATTGTTATTTGATAAAGTAATGATTCATTAGACTAAGTGGGAGACTTAATCAGTCTTCAAGCATCAGCCAATTGGAATCTTCAGTTATGCTTGTAATTTGAATTCAGCTTGTTGAAGTTCTTCTTATGTAGAAAATGAGATATGAAGCACTGATAACATCAATCTACTCCTAACTGCAATTATATGAGCTTTATTAATCCTCCCTGTACTGAACTGACATAGTCATATCTCTAGGTATGCTAAGGACTCAACAGCCTACTTCTTCAAGATGGAGAAACTAATTGTGTGAGAAGAACGTGTGCAATCTGCAGTATAAGGCAGTTTGTTATTAGTATCCCAGTTTGTACAGGAAAAGTAAGTAAGATCAAATTTGCTTTTTGTTCAAAGGGAAACAAGGTAGCAACTGAACAGAAAATGATTTGAAGTTGATAAATGAATTTAAAACTTCATATTATTGCATTGCCTTCTATCTAGAGTTTAAAGAAAGTATTGTTTCATAGCTCTAGATAAAATGTAAGATGTAGAAAGGTGTCACGGAGTTGACCAGATCAATCTATGTCCGTGACAGGGGCGACA